TGTGGTTATATGATGGGAGTGCAGCTCTCCCAGATTGTTGTTGGTAGAATCTGTTCTTCTCAAGGCTGCTTGTTCCCCTTATCAATGTCGTGCACGTAGTCGTATGTGTAGGTTACATAGATAGCAAACAGAAGCATTCTAGCTTTTTAAATGGCAACCTACAACACATACATTAAACCTAACAACCTTTGTACACATTTAAGGCTGTTCATCATCTATCTCTGATGATGATCCCATCTCGGTGTCTTAGATCTTCTTCTTCTCTCTCTCTAGCCCCTCCCCCTGTCTTGCCACCATGGCTTTCAGCTGCTCCTCAACTCTGGAATTCTCGACCTCCTGATTTAAGAAACATCTCTTCCTTCTCTCTCTTTAAGTCTAGACAAAAACTCACTCGTTCAAAATAGCTTATCCCACATAACCTCTCCACTCTGCTATGTTAAATTTGTTTTATGCCTTATGACTTTATGATTGTGTAAACTGCCTGCTTTTCTGTTGCTTTTATTATTCTGCTGTGTACAGTGTCTTTGAGTGTTCTTCAAATAAAATGTGGTAAATTTAAACTGATGATGGTGGTACTCTAATGTTTCCATTACTGCCACCATCAGGCCAAACCTCGCTATGATTATAATTATTTAAAGTTGTAGTTATTCATGGACCACTAACTTTTGTACATTTTGTTTGTACATTCACATATTTTACACTATTTAACCGTTTTTGTTTTTGTTTTTAAAGAAAAGCAGAACGATGTGCAGCCAGAGTTTATTTCATTATTTAAATCAACACACTGAAGTTACAGGTTGCAGACATGGTACAGAGAGGGTGGAGCTGCCTGTAGCTGTCTGTGGTGCTGAAGCTTTCAAACATTTCATACCAACACTGACTACAACTGTGACCACAGGGGGGCAGCATAGAGCCAGAGAGTGTTAGTGTAGCTGTTCACCCCTATAGTAAGAAACAAGAAGACTGATGAAGGAAAAGCTTCTTCCACTGGTGTAACACACAGGTTTGTATGAAGTCACACTAACTAACCAGCAGTAACCCACTGTTACGGCCCTAGCAGGGCCGCCTCCTGAAGTTTTCTGTGTAGGTGTGTCCGACCATCTCTCCTGCCTTACTTGCCAACTTTCCCTTTTACACAGCTGACTCTCGTCAGTAATTAAAGAGATGTAAGAAAGAAAAAAAAAGGAAAGGTGAGCTCTGGGCCAGAGTGCCCAGTGAGTGGTTACAGCTAGTGAGCTGAGTGTTTGTGGTTTTCAGCTAGTGAGCTGCACTCTTTTGAGTGACTTTGTGCTTTATTGACTAACATTTGAGTTTTGTTTGTTTCTTTAAATGGTGATAGCGGCTTGTCCGTTTCTTTTAGTTGAGTTACTTCAATAAAACTCTTTAATTTAACCCTTATGCCTTCTTGTCTCCTTTTTCTGACCCGGACACTTTTTGTTACTTCCCCTCACCGCCTAGACCCCTCAGGGGAACGTAACACCCACATTTGATCAAAGCAGGGCCAGAACTTTAATAACAGGTTATAATGTGTCATCACAGTTGTTGTCAATCCAAACACACTTTCTAATCTTTCTAATGTAACTCACCTCTCCACCTCTCTGGGAACATCTCAGGTCGTCCAAAGTTTGGACGCCTATCTCCCCTCACCAGCTAGATTATTTTGATGGTGTTGTGTTTATTATGTTGCTCTCTTTTTTGCTTGTTTTATCTTTTTCTCTCAACGGGTGATCCGGGATTTTTTTTTCTTTTTAAGTGCCCTTTCTCACTGTCCTCCTTCCTGTCTGTTTTTCTTTTCCTTCATCTTTCTTCCTTTCCTATCCCCCAGCCATGTCTGTCCCATCTGTAACAGCTAACAGATCATCTGCAGAGGAATGGCTTATTTGAAGAGTTTCAGTCAGGTTTCAGAGCTCATCACAGCACAGAAACAGCTTTAGTGAAGGTTACAAATGATCTTCT